GGTAGTTCAGTCGGTTAAGTGTCTGCCTTCAGCTCAGGTCATGATCCTGGGGTCCTGGGATCAAGCCCCACATAAGGCTCCCTGCTCAGCGGGGAGTCTGCTTCTCCCTCTCCCATTGCCTCTCTCCCCCATTAGTGCTCTCTCTCTCTCTCAAATGAATAAATAAAATCTTAAAAAAAAACACACACACATATATATAAATATATGACTAGTATAAATTGTGTTAAGAACAATAAGGAGAAAGAACTGAGAATAAAGGAGAGAGAGAAATACAATTTAAATTGGCAACTCAAGTACAAGACCTTGAAGCCAATACTTGGGTGTAAAGAGATTGGCTGGGAGAGTGCTTGCCAGGAAGGGAAATGGGAGATTCTCCAAACCAATTAACATCCCCATTCAATTTGAGGACAATATTTATAATTAAATTTTAATGGCAATCTAAAATGTACTTTTTATGTTTCAAACCCATTCTTATCAATATGCCACATGCAATTTTAGAACAAACACTAGTTATTATAAATACAAAAGTTTCCTTGATGTTATAAAACTAAAAGAATTCCATTCATCCCATAGATAAATTTCCAGTAATAAATTAAGATGATATATGAATATATTAAAAATTAACTGCTCTTAGAAGAATTTTTTAAGACGATGGCTTCAACAGTTACTCCACTAACATTTAAGATACTTGTAAATACACCAATCTCATTATCTTGAAAGACGAGATTTCACTTTAATTTTTTTACTGATTTTTCTCTTAACTACTTGACCATAATTTTATGTTCCTTCTAAGTTTAAACAAGGAAACTTTACAACTTGAGGGGGCAAAGCTATTGTACAAATTAGCAGGAAGGGTTTTGTGTTTCCACTACATTTTCTGGGTTCAATCCCACAAAGCATAATTTACTGATAAAATGGGAGAATTCTGCCCCTTGCTTTCTCGTTCTCGGCTCTTCATCCGGCAGCTCTTACCACCACAAACCTCGAGCACCGTCTCCTCAATCCCCGCCCTTCCCTGACACAGTGATCCTGGTACCATCTGCTCTCTCCTTCCTGCCCCTGCCCCCAGGTCTCCTGCTTCTTGCCATTCCTAAATCACTTTCCTTCTTGATATTTCTTTGCCTTTGAGTGCTCCTGTATTCACAATCTGACATTAGGTTAGGAGCAAGAGAATATGTAGGTGATCTTCAGAGTTGCCGATGAAAATAATAAAGCAAACTTTCTGCACTTGTCTCTAGTTCATACACCTGAATATACAAATGGAACATATCAAGTTCATTCCAGAAGTCCTATATATTCACCTGCCCACTTTTCCTTTCTTCTGATGAGTTTCTACACTATGAGAGCAGCAAGAATGTCATGGAGAAAACAAAGATGATAGATATAATGTAACTTGCAAATTGCAACTTGCTTAGGTATCTGATCCTTCAGTTGCTAAAGGATTTGGATTTTTTTAAAACCTGCCTGGGTGGCTCAGTCAGTTAAGCCACTGCCTTCAGCTCGGGTCATGATCCTGGAGTCCCGGGATCGAGTCCCGCATCGGACTCCCTGTTCGGCAGGGAGTCTGCTTCTCCCTCTGACCCTTCCCCTTCTCATGCTCTTTCTCTCATTCTCTCTCTCTCTCAAATAAATAAATAAAATCTTAAAAAAAAAAAACCTGCCTAAAAACCGAGATAGGAGCAAATGGTAGGATTTCTGGTGACTGAATTTGAAATATCAAAATTAAAGCTCAAGCTGCTAAGAACTCTCGAATAGGATCATGAAGGAATGAATTTCAGACTAGAATCTAAAGACCAGTGTGGCTATTCCTACTTCAATCTGTGCATAAATTCCTGTAAAAGTGCAGAGTGGAAAGCTATTCTGAATATCGGCAGTTAAATTATTCTTGTGAAGTTACATAGTGTTTCTATTAGCCAGGCAGTATTTTAACGCTGACAACAAGCCTAAGAAGTAGGTATTGTAGTCATTCCCATTTTACAGATGAGGAAGCTGTGTCCAGGGTCACTGAACCAGCAAGAGGCAGAACCTGGAGTTTAGCTCAGGCAGTCCTGCTCTGGAGCCCATTTTCCTAACCTGTCAACCAAACCGTACTGTTTTTCTAGAATCTCCTGCTTCTCCTATAGAGTCAATGGGAAGTCTTTGTCCACAGAAAAGGCCGAAGAAGAGTTGCCGAATGTGCCTACTATGCTCTGCCTCTTCAGGCCCTGCCCATCTCGGGCCCTGGACGAGAATGTGTCCCCAGGCTCTTAGCGCATCCACAGCCTCCTGAGCCATGAAATTGTTTTGTAAGTGAGAGTGCCTTATACATCATAAAATGGTGAATATGAAGCGCACTGACATTCAGTTGTCTCTCATTTACCCTCTTTGCTCATTTTCACCCCATGACCAGCAAGTTGTCCCAAGTTCTGAGCACCCCATGTGTGGACCAAGATGGTAGCATCCCAACTGGCCTCCGGGACGCTTCTCCTCTCATGAGGCCTTATCTCCTGCACAGTGCTGCCATGCTAACCTTCCTTCAATAGTATCTTCTTCACAATGCTTCTCTGTTCAAAATTTTCTGTGCCATTCATTTCCTATCTGAAGGAGGGTACTTGAGTGGAGGGTACTGGAGAGACTATCGTTAAAATGGAGAGAAGTGGTAGCGGTGACTCCTTTTCTGAATTCAACTCTACAACGCTCCCAATTATTACATTTGAAATCACTTTTCTTCTGTACCTTTTCTTGTATAGAACATATTATCCCTATTCTGCTCCATAAGTATGGCCCACAGTCCAAATGAATACAACATTGACCCATTTACCATCATCACAGCATCTCAACTCCTCCCAGATTTCCATGAGTATTTATGATTCCCCTCTCCTTGCTGGGAGCCTCTCCTGTCTGTCAGACCCCTTTTCTCTGTCCTGCACATTCCCAACCTTTATTTGGGGTCTTCCCCTGAGCAGACCTTTCAGTCCATCTTAGCTCAAATCTACCTGTTACACCAAACCCTTCCAACTACACACCCCTCACTGATGTCCTTCTCCACACTCACAGGATGTGACAGATAAATGCTTTACTGGCATTTCTCTTTCTACTAATAAATTTGAGCATCATTTAAAATGTTTATTGACTATTTTTGTTATTATGTTGCTCTTCTATAACTGTTCATTCATCTCCTCTACTCATTTTTCTATAGGGCTTTTAGATTTTCTTTTCACTATTAAAGAATTTTTTATACTCTAGATATAAAAATGTTCTCATCATTTGCATTACAAATGCTTTTCCAAATATTTGAAGACCACTGCTCTTCTTTCTACATTTTAAAAAGCTTTCCTCAGACACTTCCTTCTCCATAGACAATCCAATTTACTTAATTTATTCAAATATTTAATTTGATTCAAAATGCTTAAAAAGTCTGTTTGGATTCTAGCTGGAATTGCATGGGATTTTTTTTTTTTTTTAGAAAAAAATTTTCAAATTTTATTTATTTTCTTTAATAAACTCTACCCCCAACTTGGGGCTCAAATTCACAACCCCTAGATCAAGAGTTGCATGGTCCACCGACTGAGCCAGCCAGGTGCCCCTTGCGTGAAATTTTTAAAATTAATTTTGGAAGAATTAACATTTCTATGATACTGAGTACTGAGACTCCTGAGCTAGAGCATAGTTGGTCTTCTCATTGGTTCAGATGTCATTTCATGTTCTTCAGTCCGATTTTATAGTTTTCTTCATTTACACCTCTCCATTTTGAAATGTCATCCAACTTTTGCAACTTGAGGAATGCATATTTTCAAAAGTGAAAACTCCGTAACTATATAAAAGTTGCTTTTGATACTTTTATTTTTAACTTGGCAAATATTATCATTTTCCATTAAAAGAGTTTTAATTCTATTGTTAGGTATGCCTAACTATCCTTTTATAGCTTCTAGATCTCCGGTCTTTTTAAGACCAACTCTGTCATCCCTATGTGGTATATATATTCTCCTGGGTTTTCTTTTAAGATTTTAAAATTATTTTATTGTTTATATTCACATCTCTAATCCATCTGGAATTCATTTTGTATATAAGTTAAGATTCAGGTCCAATTTTATTTTTACTCTGATGGATGGACAGTTATGTCAGCACCATTTATGAACTAATATAACTTTTTTCCCACTGACTTGAACCAACACTTTCATCATATATTAAATTCTTATACATATTGGAATCTATTTCAGGATTTCCTATTCTATCCTACTGATTATTTTATCTCTTACTGTACTAATCCCATATTGATTTAATTTCAGTGGTTTTATATTATGTTATGGTAACCCATAACTTAAGTTCTCCTTCACTGGTCTTCATTTTCATACTTCTAAAGGCTCTTCTGAGGCATTTCCTTTCCATTCAAACTCTAAGATCATTTACCCATATACTTGAAAAAATCTATTGGCTTGTAATTGAAATTGCATGACATTTGTATATTAATTTGGGGAGAATCGCAATTTTTATCTACCAAGACATTCAGCCAAAAACATGACGTGTCTTTATACTTTTTCAGATCTTGTTTGATGTTCTTCCATAAGATTTCAAAGTTTTCTTCATTTGCATCACCTCTTTCTTATTTTGTGATTAAATTAGAGCATATGAAAATCGATATTTTATTACCTAGTTATAAACTGTGTGTATGTGTGTATAGATAGACAGCAATCTAATTATTGACCTAATCTAATTTAATTGACACCACGATTGCAGAATTCTAGAAATCCTAGGAAATGTGACAACATGGCTAACCTCATTGAAAAATGTTAGACTTTGAGCCGGGAGAAAAGAAAACTTTGTTTTGCGCTTAAAATTGGACTAATTTTATCTTTTACTGAAATTTGTAATTATTGCAATCCTATCTGAAATGGTTTCAGAAACATTATCTTTGCATATTCTTGCAATTAAAGATATTATCTAAAATGAAATAGTTTTCTGTGCCACTAGAAACAAAATCTCTGAATAAAATCATTGTGGAATCATCATTAGAGTCTTACTTGACTAGAAAGTTTAGAAGCTTCCACAGCATGTTCGAAATCTGGTCTTCCAATTACAGCAGGCTCTTTATTCATTACTCCTTGCCCCTTCTTGTATTCTGCCTAAAATTAATAAATAAGAGAATGTTAAATATTTCTACTTTCCAGTGAAGAATTATATTAATATTAGCTGAAATAAAATATAATAGACCCTCCATCCATAAAAAAACATTCCTTACAATACACCGAACACAAAAATGCTGACTGGGAGAACAGAAATTGACTTAGTGTGGTTAATTAAATTCAACTTTTTTTGTAGTAAATTAATTATTAAATTTGCATCTATGTATCCTGTCATCATCATGGTGCTTATGTATAAACCCTGAAAAAAAACTAGGAAAAATTACTGGATAATTGAGATCCTGCCTTCTGCAGACAGATAGCTTGTATGGCTCCTTTAATCTTAGGAACTGATTTAACTCCGTTTGGTCAGCATCAGGTTAAATCTTGTAAATAGTTATTAATTTTTAAGTGAGTATAGTCTCTGTTATTCAAACATTTGGTCTGTGTGAAGCCATCATTTTTAACCAGGGTGCAAGTTATGTTTAAGTAAAATGGTATTAACCAGTAAGGATATCTTGGAGAAGATATGACAAGAAAAGAGCCAAAATGTGTAGAAAATGTACAAGGGTAAATGGTGGCAAAAAAGAATCTGCACAATTAACAGTAATACAATAGAAACAAGGCCAAGTGAAGTTCTTTGGGACAGGGAAAGGTGAGAGACCAGATGACTAACAAAGTTGACTTTCAGGCTGAGGCATTCGAACGTTACCTTATGCCCGAAGAGCACTTACTTCTCTTAAATTATGACAGCATTAGCCATAGTCAAGGTGAATTTGGGCAGTTTCTGCATTCTGAATAATTTACACAGTCAAATGGATATTTCAGATAAAAAACTTGAGATGTCATTAATTCAGATTGATTAATTTCACTAATTAAATTAACCATTCAACCACCAAAGTCATGTGTTAATCTCCTGAAAAAATAAGAAATCATTTCTGCTCAAGATAAGAAAGAGAGATTACATTGCTTATGATCTTGGAGATCTGTGTTGCCATCTTGATGTCTGGTCTATTGAGATCCGCACGGTACATGTGGGTGTCCTGCACATCTTTTCTATAAGAAATCTGATCAAAGAGACAGTTTTGATTGAAAGAAAGAAAAAGAAGAAATTAGTAATTTTATAGAGCTACCAATCTTAATGTCTATAACATCATTTATCCTTGCCATAATCATCTTAGAGAACCCACTGACCATAAATTATTTTTTTTAATTTTTTTATGCACAACATTTATTTGAATAGATACATTATTTTCTCTCCCATACCTAAGTCTCACTAGCATTACTGCATATGAACTGGATTCATACAACCTAAAAAATGTGAGCCCAAGACTTCGGAACAAAACCAATCTTACAGAATCTTACAGAATTCTTACGGAATTATCACCTTAAAAGCACGTCATTACGTGTAAGTGTGTATGTACATATTCACATACAGAATATCCTCAACAAGGGCTTTAACTTGCGCATCACACAGTCTCAACCCCCAGTGGATGCAGGATAAGCCCAGTACATGAGTGTAGAAAAATCACTTCCTGGGGTGAGGGTGTGTGAAGCTGCTCCTCTCCAGCTCTCTCTTCTTTTTCTGACTGGACGCTTAAAATGCCCATGTCTGGCAAGTCTAGTCATGTGTACATACTTGTATTACCTAGCAAATATCGCAATGACTTGAGCCTCCAAAAATAAAAGCAATGACATTAAGGAACATCCATTCTCTGAATGCACATGAGATACAATCAAACCAAAGTGTGGAAAATAGACATTTAAAGAGAAAAATGCATGTAAATTTTACCAAATGTACTTTAGACGATGGTGGTTATTTAGATTAACTCCACTGACAAACAGGAGGCGAGACCAGATGAGAACTGGTATAACGTCCCACAGTCAACACCTCACCAGTCTGTCCATTTCCCTGCTTCCTGAGGTCAGTCATGAGCTGAAGGAGTATTTATGTATTTTCCAGATGTAATTCTATTTGGCAATATCACCAGGGGCTGGTCGACTTGCCCATTACAGTAGTTCTATTAAAGTTCTAATGCAAAGGGGGCAGCAATGGTCATTTTTAAGACCATTTTTTCAAGGCATAGAAAGGTAAAACATAGAAATGTAAAACATCATCAATACAAAATGCACAATTAATTATATTTGTACAAAACAAATATTTCTATTGTTGCCTGCAGACTTTCTACAATAGCATCATCTAAGGTACTTACTCAAAAATTAGATTCCTGAGGTCCATCCCCAACCCTACATAATAGAATTTCTGAAGAATCTGCATTTTAATGAATTCTCCTATTAATCAATACGAGCCAGTGTTCTAGATAATATCAATGTATCTTGTTATTTTCCTTTCAGTCTTGCAGAGTTAAAAAAACATTTGTACTTTCTCATTTCTTTCAAAAATAATATCAGGTATAAGAAGTGAAAGGCTCCCTATGCATTATATTATTTCATTTCAGTGAAATATTTATATACATTTCTATTTACTCTTTTAAGGGCTTGCATTCACCTCACCACCAAGACTGTGTTTAAAACAATGTTTATAATCATGAATCTAGCAAGTGAACACAACTTCAATAGAATTAACATAATTTCAGCAAGAACATCTGTTTTCTTCAGTATTTCTGTTCTCATAGGCTTTACTGTCACAAGTAATTCAGGTAAGTTTTGTGCACACAGGTAGCAAAAGAAACATGAAAATGGGCTGAAAACTGAGTTATATTATTGGGTGAATTTTTTAAATCTTTAGGGGTTTAAAATTAAGCCAATTTCATTGGCTTCAAATAACAACACCCTCATGCACCAATGATGGCCAATCAACCTCCACCTGCACTCGGTTAAACACAAGCTGTGTAAACAAAAACTGACTCTCAGGTGAAAACAAACCAAAATTACTACCCACCTACAAGACTAACTGTTTCTGAGTTACTGCACTCATACAGAAACCGCAGGGGGGTAATGTCTTTTTGTTTAGAAAAGAATGAGGCTAAAAATGGAAACCCTTACTTTTTGAAAAGAGCTGCAACCTTCCAGAAATCTAAGCTTTGTATGGGTTACGTAATTATATGCTGCTCAGCCTTATGACTGCGTGAAGAGAGGTGAGGGGCACAAAGGCAGAAGGAGCAGGGCTCTGAATAGGGCCCCATCATCCATGTAAATTGCAAATTAGAGGCCGGCATATGTGACTCAAAACAAATATTAAGATTGACAAGAGCTGCAAATTCAAACAAGCGGACACCACAGAGCCACACAGGAGAACAGCACGGGAGCCCGGTCACTAGTCAGATCTTCCAGAATACCACTGCGTGGGACATCCCACAGGAACGGGGCTTTACATGGAGAGGCGCAGAGCGGTAGGCTCCTGGTCTTCACTGTCTGCAAGGATGTCTGAACTTGATGGTGTGGCAACATGGCTGCCTAAGAGTGCTGCTCATCTTCCTCCTCCCTAACCCGGGTCTGAGGGAAGCTTGCCTGACATTTCTCAAATATCTGCACTATGTCTTTGCTCCGTTCTGCAGTCTGTCAGAACCCAGGAAGAATAAAAACAGTACATGGTAGAAGAGAGGTGTGGCAGGGTGTTTTTTTTTTTCTTTTCTCTATTTCCTGAATAAATTCAACCCCTAAGTGCTAATGTATTGGAGCAAGGGACTGGCCTCCATTCTTCAGGCTGTCTTCTCATGACAAGATGGTGTTCTGTATAATACTGTTGAATAAGAAGAGAAGAAGAGAAGAAGAGACTCCTGAAGATCATCAGCCCAGGATGGGTGCAAGCTTGAGGGTCAATGATTGATTTTACCTCATTTTATTTATTTATTTATTTATTTATTTATTTATTTATTTATTTTTAAAGATTTTATTTATTTATTTGACAGAGAGAGAGACAGCGAGAGAGGGAACACAAGCAGGGGGAGTGGAGGAGGGAGAAGCAGGCTTCCCGCTGAGCAGTGAGCCCGATGCGGGGCTTGATCCCAGGACCCTGGGACCATGACCTGAGCCAAAGGCAGATGCTTAACGAATGAGCCATCCAGGCGTCCCTTACGTCATTTTATTTACTGTTTTGTTCCCTACTGCATCCTCAGAGCATGGAAGGAAAAAGCAGGAAGGGGGAGATGGGAGGAGGGAGGACAAAGGAGAAGAGAGAAAAGAAGGAGAAGGGGGAAGAGGAGAAATAATAACACCAATAATAATCTCCACTTTCGACCACTTATTATGGACCAGGTAGCGTATTAAGGACTTAATATTCACCGCCTCACTCACGCATTTCTTGAATGTATGACTCTAAGGATTTACATCCCTTACACCAAGTTCTGTCTACTGCTCTTCTTTTTCAAAATTTTTCTTAATTTTTACCTATTTATTCTCATTAATGAACATTAGAATAATTCTAGTCAGTTCCACAAAGGAAACAAATGGAACTTCAGTGGGCATTGCATGCAACTCAACCTACAAAACAACTCAGGGAAAAATCTCTCAAAACTATTTCAGTCTGTTCCCAAGAGAAGAAGGTGTATTTCCCCACTTCTTTAAACCTTGTATTATGCCTTTCAATGAAGTTTCATCATTCTCCTTCTCGAGGTCCCACATGAGGCAAAAAAGTAATTATCATATGCTGATCATTTCCTTATACCTTGATCTTGTATCCAAGATAAACTGCCTTTTCTTTTTAATAACATATAACAATATATAATCTTATCTGTAAAGACTGACTGTGGTTTCTTCCTCAGGAACACCTGAAATTATTACCATACATGCTTGATCTCTTCCTCCTTTTTTTTTTTCCCACTTAATTTCTTTCCTGGCCCCTTTCCACATATCTGGGTCATTTTCCTAAGTTATGCCTCTATAATGGACATGTGTAATTTCTGTATCGGCCTGGGGTTTTTTATTTGGAAACTGCCCCTCCCTCTCACTCTGTGTGATTTGGTGGGGCTGTCCAAGGCAGCCTACTTTCTTGGCGACAGGGGTGGTGACATGACAGGTTGTCCAATCAGACATCTCATCCCTTTAGAAGCCACGATCAATTAGAAGGCAGACACATAACCCAGGGAGGGCCAGAGTCACTGATGGATCTGAGGCTGGAGGGAGAAAGGGCTTCTGTCCTTCCCTCTGGAATCAGCGGCTCTAGGGATGATTTAATTCTGGAAACACCAGCTGTCATCTTGAGACCACCTAGACAGTCTGTCTGAAAGCAAAGCCATGACATGGGGAGAGACGAAGAGTCCCAGTGACACTGTGAGCCTCTGGACCCAGGTACACCTAAAGGTAGCTTGAATTTCCAGTTATGCAAGCCAATAAATTTTCATGTTTTACTTAGCTAACTTGAGATGGAGTTCTATTGCTAAACCTAGAAATGCCCAATTAACACAGTCTCCGTTTCAGGTTTTTCTGCAGTGTCAAATCTGTTCTTCATTGCCTCCAATAAAGATATTAATTCTATCAGATTTGTTTTGGAATTTCTTCCTTGTCTCACCATGTTCACTTTGTCCCTCAGTTTGTACTTTCATCATTTTATTGTCTTTTAATCTCAGCTTGTTCCTTATAATCTTGATCTTTTTTATTATGTTCAGTTAGCCAACATATAGTACATGATTAGTTTTTGATGCAGTGTTCAATGATTCACTAGTTGTGTATAACATCTTTTACTTTTTTTTTTACATCTTTGCAGAGGGTCCAACATGGCAGGCATTGTTCTGAGCACTTTACATGCAGGAATGCATGAAATCATCATCCCACCCTTGTTGTGCTGCATTGTCTGTGTCCAACCGGGCTTCCTCAACACTCCCTCCCAGGACTGGAACTAGTTATCCACAAGCCCCTTCCTTGTATTGTTCTGAGTTGGGCTTGGTCAATGAGAGACTCAGATTTATGTCCTTGGAGATGCCAAGATTGAGAGATGAGGGGACAGCCAGGATGACAGCCACAGGCAGACCCCCGTGGGGGAATTAAGGCTGGGGAGCAGACTTAGAGAAGTCAAACCCAGCTGGCCCCAAACCATCATTCCCCTTGCCACTCTGATGAAGGTTAACGTGATTCTTGGTGAGAAGAGACTAGAAAGGATTTACATCTTAAGTTTGGCAGAACAGAAGGGCGTAGTGGGGCCTGTATTTAGTTATACTCTTGAAGCACTCGTGCAGTCATTCCCAAGACATACTTTTATCCTAAACTCTCACATTAGAGAAGCCCCCAGGTATCTCACATAGGCACAAGGACTGGAAATTCTATCCCAGGCTTATTTCTGTCTGGGCATCCTGTATGTAAAAAATGAGTAAAGGATTAGATTATAAGTATTATTTTTATGAGAGAATGTAAACCTTTTATATACAGGTAAACCTAGGATCTGACATTCATCAGAAGGCAGAAAAGTTTTCAATCTCCTAAAAGATGGGAGTAAAATACTGAGCGGCATCTTTCTCATTATTATTGTTGTCATTGTTTATAAAAAGCATTTTAGAGTTGATAGAAGTTTTCTTATTCATGAGTTAATTTTACCACCACCACAATCTTGTAAAGAAGGCAGAATGGGTATTACTAACTATTCTTGTCTCAGAGATGAGCAAAACACTAATGTATCTATTTTAATACTAACTCCCAAAGTGCTGTTACTATAAGTCACATTGGGGAACCACACAGAACCATGACAGCCTCTCTAGGATCATTTTACTGATTTATCTCTAAGCTTTTTCACTTTCCGATGGAATAGAAATTTTATCTCCTGATAAGTTTTTCTTACCATTAAGAAAATATATATATCATTCTTAAACATGAAGTCTCTTGTTTCCCCTGCTGAATACTTCCTTCCAATACACATTGAATTGATTATATGGTGTTTTAGAAGAGTTTACCACTCCAATTTCATCACAAACCACATTACTTACAAAACTTAAGATGGCAGTTCAAAATTTGTTTGACTTCCTTCAGAACTATTGGGTTTTGCATCCCTGATAAGATTGATGAGAACTAATAATGTTACTGGGGTTTTCATTTTGAGCCCATCTTTAGGGGAAAGTAACCGGATAGATTATCTCCAGTTTCTCTAATTACATTAGAAGAATTTGGCAGGGGTACATCCTTTAAGATACGAAAGGATTTAGATTGGCTGTTTTTAATCATTTCTTGATTATAGTATCAACAAGATAGGTAGTTATATGGGTTCAGGATCATTTTGAACATGCCCTTCTGACCTAAATGCTTCTTAATATAAATTTCACATACAGTTGGCCTTTTTCTCAATCTAAGCTCTGTTAATTATTTCAAATTGACTATGAAATCATCCTAACCTTTCAAATCACCCTTTAAAATTGGAGGGGGACCAAAGAGGACTCATATTTTACAGAGCTGCTCCTCTGCAAAGCCCTTTATATATATATACACCATCTCATTTAATACTCGCAAGAGCCCAGTGAGTTGGATACCACTGCCCCACTTTACAGATGGGAACACTGAGATTTGGAGATATTAAGTAACTTGTCCAAGATCATACAGGCAACATGTGGTCTGACTCTAAATTCCTTTTCTACTATGTGCTACAGTGGAGGATATTCGGATAAATGATCTCCCCTGCCCCGTTCCATGCTCACTGAATTGGGGGGGGGGCAGAAGAGACTAGTGCCCCTAGAACGACTAGTCTTCCTGTTGAAACTCTGAGTTACACAGAGGGGAGAATTCAGTCAGCCCTCACAGAAGTCCTCTCCCCTTCCTCTTCTGCTTATTCAGGCTTCTAAAGGCATGAGGGAGAGAACAGTTCTGAAAGGAGAAACATGCCCTTTGGCCCATTGATAAATGTTCTAATAAAAGTTTGAGCTGAAAGGAGGCAGAACTTAAAAGGTTTAAACTGCAGTTGGCCCAGTTTCTTGGTTCTCTAACAGACACTAGAAAGCTGACTTGCTTGGGTTAGCATCTAGGAAGTTCTTTATTTCAGATGCTCATATAAAATCTGTACTTTTGCTTTAGATATAATTTGGTCTTTATTTTCCTACTTTTTTCTTCTAACAGAAAGTATGTGTGACTGTTATCTTTATTATTGTTATTATCTGTAAATAGTTGCTCCACAATTCAAAACACTGATTTTATATTTCTTTTTTTTTTAAGATTTTATTTATTTATTCATGAGAGACAGAGAGAGAGAGAGAGAGAGAGAGAGAGAGAGAGAGGCAGAGGGAGAAGCAGGCTCCCAAGGAGCAGGGAGCCCGATGCGGGACTTGATCCCAGGACCTTGGGATCATGACCTGAGCTGAAGGCAGACGCTTAACCATCTGAGCCACCCAGGCGCCCTGATTTTATATTTCTTAATTGTTGTTTAATGGTGATGGTTAAAGTCTGATCCTTGATAAACTACAATAAATTACAATTTGCTTTAGGAAATGAAAAAAGAAAGCTGACTTGCTCTTGGTAGAAACATAAAATAAAAAGGTCAGCAAAGATGCCTTATTTCTAGGCAAATCAGATATACGTGTGACAACACATTTTCTTTCAAATTAAATCAAGTCATTTAGAGGCATCATGTAAAGGGACATCCCACATTACGGAAGGGTAATTCTATTAGTAGATTCTCTGCAAATGGGTTTCGACAGACTGAAGTATTGTGGGAGACAGAGTTTTGTCTTTTGTGGAGATGCACTAGCCTCACCTAACAACCAGGAGAGGTACTTGCTTTCCTGTGGCTTTCGAGACCTAGGTTTAAATTTCATATTGTAGGGACAAAAAATGTATTCTTCTAAGTGCCCTGACTCTAGGGGAATATCAGCTACTTCACAGGTAAAATACAAATATCATTCTCACTTTAAATCTGAGTAAATAGTCTTAAACACTTTCTAAATCCTATTATATGTACAAACTTTGCATGTGAAGGTCGAGCCGAGTAGGCAGAGGAGTGTAAGTAAATACATCCTTCTCCCATAAGTACACAGTATTGAATGGAAGAGAAAAGGCCTTTATACTCTATTCCCTCAATCCCTCAATCAAAGACCTTTTAAAAGAAAAGGCAGAGTTAAAATAATAACCCCTGCTATATGATAAGGAACTTCCGTATTTGAATTTCATTGAATTATAGAGTTGGAAGCAGCCTCCCGAGGGTCCATGTAAGGCGCTCCAGCCCCTCCCGGGCCATCACTGACGCCTTTGGTCCTGCAGCGCCTTGAATCTGTTGATCTAAATCCTGATGATAACCTATTTTGTCCCACATTTTTAAAATTTCATTTAAAATCTCAACCAATAGCCAATGCCTTTTAAGAGGCATCTAGAAAAGGTGGACTTGGGAGTTTGACTCTTGCGACTCATTTTCTTCATCTACAGAATGGGGACTCCGTACAGGGATTTTGTGAGAGTTGGAAACAATGGGAGTCTCGGCAGAGTTCCCGCTGCGCAGCCAGGCTAAGTGGTAGTAATTACGGTTATGACCATCATTCTGTAAGCAAACTGTTCTTACGAAGCATCCCCTTCAAATGGCCTTGCTGGTAATTATAGACGTGTAGCTTCCTCATCTCTCATCCAAGTTAAACCATCTTGGGAAACTGTCTTGGTACTGGCATCTTTTTACACATTGGAGTGAAAATGTAAAACCTCACTCCATTTGTACTTAAGCATTGATCTACTGCAATTTAATACCAGATAACTGTTGCCATCCTGGAAAGAGATACTGCACAGCCGAGGCTCTGGGGACACAACGTCAGCCAAGCCGCATTCAGTAAGGGAGCTAGGTGGTGGGACAGAGCCCATTGGAGATGACAAAGTTGTTTCAGGTAGTTTCCAAAGAAAGGGAGTTTCTTGACCCCAATAAGGCAGACGCCTTTATCTGAACTGATTGTAGCCCGTAAAGAACCTAATGAACAGTCCCTACATGCCTCCTAGAGAACAAAGAACTCCTAATGGGGAGACAAATGAGCTTCCACTGAAATTTCAGGAAGAAATTATTCTTCTGGGCCACCGGGATAGTGGTGGTCATTGAGCAAACACATGGAAGTTTTGATGCACCTGCTAACTTACAACTTTATAATCTTCTAACTTACAACTTTTAAAAGAATTTATTTTCTCTGGGTCTGTTTCCTCTCCCTTGGCTTCTGCTAAGTCAGCCATTACGCATCAACTGCTTTCATGTTCTCCATAGGTCTTAAGTTTGACCATTTGCTCTCCATATGTGTTCCAAAAGAGTAGTGGGGTACTATCTCACTAGCCTTTGTGAGTGACTATTCCCCAGGCCAGTGGTTTCTGGTGTCCTTTCTCCCAGTTCTTCTACAATTCTAGACTGGAAACTACAAGAGCTTTACCATCAAGTCAAGGGCACTCTAGGAAATGCCAATAATCCAACAGGTCCAAAGCAGAACTTCCAATATCTGCAAGGACCTGACATTTTAAAGACATTCTACAAGGTTTTAATGACTTTTGGTAGAGTAATTCAGATGAATTTATGACTGAACACTGAGAGATTTAAAAACAAGAAATTTTAAAGTTCTTTTTGAAGAGGAGAGTGGTGATATGTAAATTGCAACAATATATCCATTAGCCCTGATGTGGGTAACCATGATTTACCAGAAAAACATGAGGGATGGTGTCCTTACATTACTCTGGTGTTTATTGACCTCCATGGCATGTTTGATGTCAGGTGGCTCCTTCATATGGGCATAATCTGAGAATCCTTTGGCAGCATCGTGTTTCTGCTTATAAGCAACCTTTAAAAACACAAATCATTGTTAGTTTTTTCAGGAGTATATTACATTCTTACCTGTTAAATTTCAGGTTTTGCTAGGAGTTTGTGTATTTGAATCTCACACTGATGGTCATATTTGCCTAAGCCTCTACAACAAGAGAATATACTCAGTGCTTTAAGGTTAGTGCTTCAGGTTAGAATCCTAAATCTGACTCTTTCCTGTTTGTTTCAAAAGTCCTTGACCATATGCACGCTGGAATCCCCGCTCATATTCAGCTAGCTTAAATCTCAGCTACGGTTTTGGGAAACCTTCCAAATCTATGAGCTCTTAGGGTCATAAATGTCCAAGGTTTAAATCTTGGGAAAGCAACTGACAAAGTGGGGAAAATGACCAGATATTTAAAGGCAAATTTTTCATTTTTAATTAATGGTTATGACTTTTCTGTAAGCACACTATAATATAACATAAACCTCATTAAATGCCTCAACCTTTGGGAGAAAATAAAACATGCATGCAGATTTCTGAGATATGTCAAGGTCTGTCCTCTGTGAGGGAAGTGAGCATCATGCCAATGTCACCCATTGCTACCATTTCAATTTGTTCCCTCCTGCGATGGATAGAAGGCATGAGAATGATTACTTCAAAAGTAGAAGTAACCAAATCCAATGATAGAGTTAGGGGAAAAAAAAAATCCAGAAGACGACAAATTATCCCTTTATTCGCAGTCTATTCCATTATCCTATGTATTTCCGTTGCAATTTTCAATTACTTTTGTTTTATTTTTATAGAATTACTTATTTTCTATCTTCTGTCACAAGAACGTAACTTATCTAGCTCGGTGAATGCTCAGAACCCAAACTAGTGCCTGGCCCAAAGTAAGGATCAATAAATATTTGCTCAGTGAATGAATGGATAAAAATAAAACAGGAATGAATGAATAAATTATTTTAAAATTAATTTTAAATAGATATTAAGTTTTATAATAAAAAGATATTAAACAGAGTTAGAATAACTCGACACAGGAGAATAGAGGCAATTTAAAGAGAAAAACTAGAAGAGTAGTCACAAGAACAAAATAAGATCTAATTTTTAACGTAAAGGAATAACAGCTCAACTTAAGGAAAAACTTTTTACCAATACTAGCTCCTTGAGAGCTATGCCTATATCTTCTTACACATCTTTTAATATCCTGTGCCTCTCAAACTGAATGACAGAGAGTAGAAATGCAATAAATGTTTAGCAAAAAAGTGAATAAATAAGTTTATTATTCTCATGAACTTAAAGCCCTCATGGGTTTTAATAAACTGTATTAACCATTCACTTAACTTAGATAATATACTTGTCTAGAGGATTAAGGTGATATTTACAAAACTAATTTTTAAAAACAAAATCATCACCTCTTACCATAAAGAAAGAAAGCCATTTCTTACAACTATCAATATTTAAATCTCCTCTCTGGTTCCCCCACCAAGTTCTTCTTGAAAACATTTACTGAAATGGAACACACGCTGGGGTGTCACAGTCTCTAAATTGTGGAAGCTTTGACACAAAGCCCCTCCCTTAATGAAGCCCCAATATGTCCTCCCCTGGCAGCTAGTTCACCGGATGGAACTTCAGGTGTGGGTAAACAGCTGCCAATGACTCCCATTTCTCCAGATCATCTGCACAGAGTAAGGTCATGAGCCCCTGTACCCCTAAATGCCCTCCTCTGCACAATTTCCAATTAATCCACCCTTTCTTAAGATGCCCAGAATGTTCCAGATATGGTCTCACCTCTCTTAATTAGAACTGTCCAATTTAGTCTGGGTTATGATTTCTTGTGTGCTCGCTATTATTCATGTATGCATAGATCACAGTGTTTTCCTTCTGATAACTACGTTGAGATTCCTGTCACCTGGTGTCCTTAAGCCTTGTTCAGTTCTGCCCCACTCTGTCTTCACATCCGATCCGGCATATCTAGTTGATTATCAGGACTCACACGCAGCACCCCCATGTTATTCCAGGGATCACTCATTTTTTTAGAGTCTGTCCATTGATTTAATCCATCAGGATATCTAATTCTCATGAACATATCTTTACATTTTTACCAATTAGTTATGTTAAATAGGAAACCCATTAAGGACCTCCATTTAAGTTGGCAAAAACCATTATGTCAGTTCCATTACATTCTATATTATAACTTTGGAGGAAAGGAGGAAGAGTTTAATGGGTGACCAGGTCTATTATGCCAAGAAGAAACCTTTATCAGATTTGTTTCTTCTTAAATAAAAGGTGATAGCATGTACCTAGCTCCTTTTTGCTGGGTGCCTGGTTTAGTTTGTATGACTTGTGACTTTATAAACATAATCAATGCAGCTGATCATTTAGTGGGTTATCACAGAAATGGTGAGTCATCAAGCACAATTTTAAAAAGCACTCTTTCTTTAAAAGCCTCTGTAATTTTCTACTTGCAGCATTAAAAGTCATTTCATTTATAGCTACAACGAAGCACCACTTTAGAATTAAGATTACATCAAATTGGAGGCAGCTGAACTTGAATTTATCATATTAATTTTCATCCTTAAAATAGCTAATGGAAAATCATGTCAAGCTAATAAATTTTCTGATAAATTTGATTTCTTAGGATTTGTCATTATTGTTTAGCATTTCCCTAGATTAACACTGTTTTCTTCATACCTTGAGAATCAAGGTCGCCTTGCTACTGGATACCTAACTAGTGGAGGACACTTGTAATAGTCTTATATACTTATATATAAATATGTTTATAAAAGTAGTACATACATTTATCTTGCATATTTGATAGCATAGTATAGCATAGTATATTTTTATATCATATATATATATATATATATATATATATATATATCATACATAAGATCTCTATACATTTCTAACTTCAGGATATTTTACAACTACTATAGGTAAATACACTGCTAGGCAGGACCCCGGAGCCACTATGGATAAAAACGCAGGCCGTCAAACATCTGAGTCCAGATGCCTGAGTAGCCTGTATCAGTTCTGTGGTAAGAGGTTATTTAGCCTCTGCCTGAAACAGCCCTGGTGAGAAGGATCTCACCATTTCATGGCATGGTCCATTCGTTTCCAGAAATTCTCTTTGTGGTCTTTGTTTATAAAATTTTTAATGGGGGATATCTCATAAAACAGCATCCTAAAATCTCCACATCTCGCTCTTTTTTTAGAATGACTTCCCCTCAGTCATTTTCTGTAAGGAGCATTAATTTAGCTCTCTTCACCTTATCATTCTAGTTGGGATGTAAGCATCTGAGAATGTTTGCAAATTGATTTTAACATAACATTTTGATCCAGTGTCCTCAGTTTAGGAGACTTTTCATTAGAATCCAGAACACCTTGAAATTCCAGAATGTGTCTACTACTCTAATTTAGGTTACCACAAATCTGATACAATTTGGACACAGTAAAATGTTAGTTGTTTAATTTTATCAGACACCGTCAGATAGTTTTACTTTCTTGATAGTCTTATTACCAGGTAAGCTCTGAGAACTGCAATTTTAGCAACAATAAAATTGATTTATACAAACCTCAAGAAGTATTATTACATTACATTGAAATGTTATTACATTACATTATTCCATTGAAATAGATACTTTATTCAGAATCCAGGTATTTCCTTACTAACAAGTTCAGTGACTAATTACAACAGTGGGCAGTGTTGGGAGCACACACCCGTCTTTCCCAGGGGCATACTCTACTATAGCATAACACATGCTAACAATGCAAGAGACAACTTATTCTGGGGGGAAAAAAAAGATAGATTCCACAATATACAATATGGATTATCTTCCACGTTAAGTCCTACATTGCATTGTATGGTGACTAACATAACATAATAAAATTAAATTAATATTTTTTAAAAAAGTCCTATATTGCACATGTACGCTTCTGCCATAAAAAATGAGAAAAGTTGGCCACTTTCACACAATGAGGATGTAAATATCTGACAAGGTTACCTTCCCAAGTATAAAAATAAGAAGAGACTATTCTTTCTTGCATAATTGTTGTTTGTCACATATCAAGTGTTGGGTTGTACTTATTTGCGTTATAAAGTAGTCTGTTTATTATCAGCAAGTGGCTAGGTGACCAGATGTTGTGAGGGGGAAAAAGGGACATATTAGTCATGGTCAGCCCTGCAAAACTCTGATATCATATATTTTTAGCCTCATGTTAGACAGCTGAGATTAGCTTACTGCCAAGCTGAGTACACAGAGGACATTTAAATTTGTAATAATAAAGTACTTAAAGATGTTCTGCAAAGGATAACAATGCTCAGTCTTTTTCAAGAGTATTTTAGGACTATTTTAAAATTACCTAGGCATCCTCTACTTAAAACTAAAAAGATTTTGAAGGAAGAAGTCAAGTTGTTTAATAAGTGGTGGAAATGGTAAGAAAGAGGTGATGCAGTGTGTGGTTAAGAACCCAAACTCTGAAGCCAGACTATCCATGTTCATGTGTTGGCTCTGCCATTTATTGGCTGTGTGAGCTCAGGCAAGTTACTTAACTCCTCTGTGCTTCAGTTTCCACATCTCCGAAATGGGGCTTTCTCACGCAGTACTTATGCGGATTAAATGATATAAATATATGTGAAATGTATAGATCAGCACCTGACACATAGTAAGCATTTGTATGTGTCCATTATTATTTTTAACCTAAAATGTAGCATGAAGAATATTAAACTACATAAAAGGAAACATTTCCTTTTAAAAGGAATCAACAAATTCAACAAAATCCATTTTACCGGTATTTACTAACTATCCCCCTGTGTGCCAAGGACTGTTCTAAGCTCGGGGGTAGAGCAGAGAACAAGACACAGGAGGTCCCTGCTGTCATATCACTTAGGAAGCCATTTCATAAAGTTTAAAAAAAAAAAAACTGTGCTATGGAGAAAACAAAACAATAAGATGACTGAGAAAGAGGTGAAATATTCTATTTTGAAATTCTGTTTTAAGAAATACAACAAATTAAATGTACTATGTATTCCTTATGTCGAATGTACCAAAGGGGAAAATTACTCTTCTGGACTCAAAATGAGCTTACAGGATGACAGTTCTTGAGTTCATCTGCAACTTGCAATCACTAAAATGGCCACTTCCACCTGAGATACTGCACATGAAATCCATAATCCACAGAAAAGGAAATTCAGGGACCTCTCACCTAACTGAGGAAGCACAGACTTGTGGATCCTGAATTTAACCATTAACTCGTTATGGGACTTTGAATAAACCACTGGAATGTTCTCCACTTAGAGATCACATGCTAAATCAGACAGGTTTAATATTTGCTGTCAGATTTTATTTTTTTAAGATTTTATTTATTTGACAGAGAGAGACACGGCGAGAGAAGGAACACAAGCAGGGGGAGTGGGAGAGGGAGAAGCAGGCTTCCCGCCGAGCAGGGAGCCAGATGCGGAGTTCGCACCCAGGACCCTGGGATCATGACCCGAGCCGAAGGCAGACGCTTAACGACGGAGCCACCCAGGTGCCCCTGCTGTCAGATTTTAATCTAAGTAAACTGTCCTAACAAGATTAAAATTTATTCTATTAATAACTGTGAATGGGCTTAGGAAAACAGCATCACTTGACTAACAAATTTGCCTGTACTTTTCATTTTCTGTGACCCACCAGGGACTATTGACAACCCATGAGTCAGCTGCTTCCAATTTTCATCCAATATGTAATACCCAAGATAAACAACCTTTTTGTTATCTATGTTTAAATACATATTTTAAATATTAATATATTTTAAGATGCTGATTGTATGTGGTTAAATTTTGATATATAGAGTTATGTAACAATTTAGGAAAACCACACCTCACTCTGAAGCTGTGTAACTTCTCTTGCAAAAACACTATCGATTGTGGCTGGCATCTGCTTATAAAGAGAATTGGAGAGGTTCGCCTTAATGGTGCCTTTGTATTTTGCCTAGAGGGGGGAAAAAGGAAAAAAAATTAATAAGCACTACTTTTTTTACTGTGAATATTGAAAGAGAATAAAAAGAAATTTTCTTCAAAAACAGAATTAATTTAAAAACCTTAAGACCATTTTAACCTTAGATACTAGACTGAAGAACATATTCTGAAGAGAGATAAATCCAATTTATTATGGAAAAAGCTTTAAAATGAGATGCTCAAGAAAATAATGACTACTTTTCTATTTTAACCTATGCATGTTTCCAAAAGCAAATCCGATTGTATAGAGAGTTTCAGATGTTTGATCAGCAAAGAAAATCCTGAGAAAAATGAGACATTTGAGTTGTTCCAGAAAATACAAGTTGGTAGAATGTAGTGTCTAGAACTTGAATGCAAAGGACTATCCTTCATTCAAATCTTTTTAACCTCCTCTACCACGACTGCGTTGGGGGGGGAGGTATCTTTTTGTTGTTTCTGTGTCTTCCCACCTCCAATCTGCATTGTCTCAGAGTGATCCCCAAAATTCCTTACTAGTAAATAGAAACGCTCCTTCACCATTTCTCTTAGAGAGATGAGGTGCAAAGTAACACAACAGATTGCTCACTTCCCTTTCTTTTTTTTCTTTTTGTGCTCTGCAGTTAACCTCTTCAGGAAAAAGAATCAATCAGGAATGAGAAACATCAAGAGAGTCTTTGCATAGGAGAAATAAAAGCTAACGCAAACCTACGAAACCACATTTTTCCACATGCTGACGTTACCCCCGCTCAGAACTAGATGTGAGCGCGGATTTATTGAGCGTAGACCTTGTGTAATCCTTGTGTTCTCACAACTCTTTGGATGTGGGTACTCAATAAGAGAAAATTTGGCAGTTTCCCTCAAAATGTTTTCACATGAGTGAAAATAATCATGAGAATATCATGGTGATCTTTTTCCAACATAACTTATGAAACACTAGAGGTCAGTCATTTACAATACTGTTGTACTCATCCTCTTTTCAAATTTCTCTCTCCTAAGTGATCTAGTCACAGACTACAGAAATGCCTCCTCACAGAAATCGCTGTTAACATGGTGCTTTATAATGCAGCATAATCTGCAGTTGGAAATGCTCTCAGATAGAGACTATATGATTTTTCAGCTGGAAAATGAATGTAGTGTGTTTCTCTGTGGTCTCATAATAAGTGTCTCTGTTGAACTGATCCTACTCAAAAATAGTTTAAATTGATTTAAAATTACTTACCAAAGGTATCACGTTTTATAGAATCAGCTGGTAAATTTTACTTATTTTCAAAATGATATCCAACAATTTATATCTAATACACCTATTAGGAAATAAAATAATGGAATTTCTAAAACTATTTTTCCAGTACTTTCTACTTATCAAATAAAATATCTCTTTTCAAGAGTGATCCTACATAAATATGAAAGGGTTAGAGTTGAAATATAGACATATATAATAAAGTATATCAACCATAAAGTTAATTGATATGGTGCATAGGATTACATAATTATGTAGATATTACCAACACTCAGTGGCGCTCTCAAAAATATCATTCTCTAATTTTAATGCACAAATTTTTATCTACATAATTAGAAAATGAAAATGCAAACTATTTCGCATGTTTTGATGCCTTACCTCAGAAATAAAAGCGCCGATATTTTTTACATGGTTTAGCATGGGAGTGTCAGTCACAAATGTACACTTGTCCTTAGACTTTTTATACTCTTCTTTATAATGAATCTAAAAGAGAGAATAATTTACAGAAGATGAGAAAGAAGAAAAACAATTTTAATGCCCCCCTTTTGAACAGAATTACTTGAGGAAGTCTGTTTTCTAAAGTAAATACTCAAATGAGGAATGATGCTCAAAACCAGCCAAATCAAATAAATGGATGTATAGCACAGAACCGCAAAGGTGATGAGACACAGAAAAGATTGTTCTTTAGATTAATAAGAGTCCTGTTATCATCAAGGATCATAGGGGTGGATGCACATTGACTATGGGTCCTGTCTGCCCAGCTTTCTCAGCATAATTATTCAACACTCTCATTTCATTCGGCAAGTGTCCTAGTTTATTGTTACTTTCAAGCCACTGACTGCACAGTTAAGCCTACAATCAAACGAAAACATAGCTGCTTACCTCTAGGTTTAAGACAAGTAGTCTATCAGGACAGATGGAACCAATTAAGAAGTAGAGGCAGAAATCAAACAAGTGGAGATTACTGTTAGCATCATTACTGTTAGCATCATGGTGAATTTGAGGAAGGGGCTCAAACAGTAGACACGATGAGCTTCCTTTATACTAATTAATTCAGCTCAAATCAAACTTACCCAATTTAGGGGCACCCATAGGCCTCCCTATCTGCCTCCCCTCCCCCAGCAAGAGTAGAACCTGCCCTGAAAGCTTGCCACAAGGTGGAGATCATTCCAGAATGCTATGGGTAGGCAGATGCACAAGAGAAAGTCCAGAGAGGCTGAGCTGAGCATGCTCATTTCTTCTCTCAAACTCAGTAGTAAAAGGAATTACTCTTTTCCTCTTGAGGAGAGGCCAGAATTATTACTCTGGGGGAGACCCTGCATGAACACATGAGGTGAAGTCAGGAACTATATGGGCAAGGCCCTAAAATGTAATCCCACTTTCATGCTAATTGCCACTCAATCCGAAAACTGGTGAGGCAAAATTTATGACCAGTTGAGAGGATGAAGGTAATTTGCTAAAAGTTATATCACCCTGTAATAAACTCATGTTTATCTACCCAAAACTGTAAATACTTATGCTGAAAAAAATGTCCCAGTTCAGATGATAAATTACATGGTCTTCCTAACTATAACCTAAAAGTGAAGTTTAGGTGACTATATACCTGGTTCTTAAAGGACATGACTAAGATGTTGCAACACTAACATTACATAGAGATTTTACCACATGTAAACCTGACATGAGGGGCATAATTCGACCTGAGGTATGACCAGATAGGAACAAACTAAGCAAAATACCGTATCTCACTGCTGTTACTCTTAGGTATGAGACGCCTACCACATTAAACATTTGCTTTATTCATGAAATCAACATTGGAACATATTTATCTTATCTGAGCTCTAAATTACCTTTTTTTCTTCTCAGAGATTAGCCATAATTTTAGGGCTCTGCAAATCACCCTCCTCGGTTACTAGTAATTAAACCATTAATGGCTGTATGATAAATAGTGGGCTATTTTGATCATAAGGAGAGAAAAAAAAAGTATCCCCGTTATATAATTAAGTGTGAGAGAAAATAACCTATCATTAGGTTTAAGTTTGGCTCATTATTTTTATCTTTTGCCACTATCTTCTCCCCCCTCACAGTCACATTCTTGATTGCAGTGGTGTGTGCAACAGCCACGGGGCCCCCGATAGGCTCTGACCTGAGTAGAATGTTCAGGACAAGAACACAGGATAAGGGTGAAGTATTTACTTCCTTCACTGTGCAGGCAAAGAGTTCAGTCTTAAGTGGGGTCTCCAGTCCTTTCTTTGGTCTTTAAAAGATAGGTATACACACACAAACATACACACCCACACACGTATTATTTGCTTATTGTCACTCCTATTGTATTTCTAATGAATTTTACAACTTGAGTCACGATAAGCAAATGATCTTACATTTTTATATAAAGAATGCTACATAGTGTTAGCCTTCCTCTACCAAGGTAATAGAAAAAGATAGATGGGCAGGAGATACACCAGTGAGGGACACAACATCCCAGGTGAAATAAAATCACTAAATAGACAGCCACTTCCTGCAGAGCCATGGCCCCATCTATTGGATAGACTGCCTATGTGACCCCCTTCTTTCCTAATAACAGAATCCAAATGTATTTATGAGAGTAGCCAGACCCTTGCCCCGGTCCCAGAGGATGAGCTGCTCTAAGTCAGATACGGTTTGCTCTTTCCCCTTGGCCAGCGACTGGCCTCCCCTGGTGCCCAGCTCTGGCCACAGGCCATATGTAGAAGTCTTCCCAGCAGTGTTCCTGGTGTTTCTGGGGCAGAGGGGAAAGACTTGCTGGCTCAGTCCTTTGACACTTTGCTCTTCCACATTTTCCATTCCCCAGTCACAGGGATGCACCAGCCATGAAGTCATCACAAGGCGGTAAGTCACCATACTAATGATGACAAAGCAGAAGGAAAGGAACCTGAGAGCCTGAGAGCATCCACCATACCAAGACTGGACCCCTTACCTCCATGCTTCATTATGTGAGAATGAAAAATCCCACCTATATGTTAAGCCTCTATGCTAGGGTCTTCCTGTCACTGGTGGCCATCTGCACTCATGACCAAGATACTATCCAACTTACTTTCTAATAGGAAAAAAAAAAAACAAGGTGGGTGAAGTTGATGACTTAATACTCAGTAAGACACCCCAAATATTTACCTTCTGCTCTGACCACACCCATTAATCCCACCATATCTCAACTACAATTAGAGTTAAATCAGTTCAGTGATGCTTTCTCCTCTTAGCCCAGTCTCTTTCACTTGATATGACCGTAGCTAATGGCGGACCTTGGATGACAGATGTAGAAATGTCTGAGGATATTTCCTTTTACAGTTACTCTTTTTTTAAAGATTTTATTTATTTATTTGAGAGAGACAAAGAATGTGAGCAGGGGTAGGGGCAGAGGGGAGGGAAACAAGCAGATGACCCGCGGAGTGGGGAGCCTGACACGGGGCTGGATCCCAGGACCCTGAGATCATGATGTGAGCCAAAGTCAGATACTTAGCCGACTGAGACACCCAGGCATCCCTCCTTTTACAGGCACTCTTAACCAAAAGTATCGAGAAAATCTTCTATCAAATGGAGCCATATTGGCTCAATGCATTGAACCCTGGAAGAGAGAACAGCAGTCCCCTCACTCTGTGGTGATGGGGCGGGGGATGCTCCAAGCTAAGGCTGCTATGCCAGGTTCTCTTAACACAATCAGAGCTCTCTCTGGAGGGATAGTCATGGAATCTGATGCTTTTAGCACTGAAAGGATTTACCCACAACAATGTTCATTTGCCTGGAAAATGTTCTTTCTGCTGTCATGCAAGTGAATAGCCTCAAAGGGGTTGAACCAAAACAATGGGTCACAAGCTTCATGCAGATGTGGCCAAACTCACTCTGCAGAGACTCTTGATGCCTAATTTATAAGAAACACACAAAAATATCTCCTTTAACCTAATATGTTCTATGACCACCTGACAAAAGGCTACTAGATCCATGATTCTGATGGCTCAATATAGTTAATAGGTTTGACTTATTCAAGGAATTCATTAGATAGTTGACCAATAAGGGCCAGAGAGAGAGAGAATATCTGGGGAAATAAAAAGCATTATGTGGTTAACAGAAAAATAAAAGAGGCAACCTCAGAGGACCAGGTAATTTGGGGAAGTGAGTTATGCAGAGGGAAACCAGGTAGAGCAAAAAAAAATGGAAAAATGCCTCACACTGATGCCCCATAGTGAAGCCACCTGACCTGAAAAACATGCATTTCTTTCTAGGGAGAACTGTAAGTCCCTGGACTTATTTCTAGATCATTCCTATGTAACATTAGTGACACAAAACACAGTACTATATGTGGGGCACCTGGCACACAGCAGAAGAGGAATGACATGATGATGGCCAAGGTCTGGGAGTCAGGCAGACCTTGTTTCAAATCCCAGGTGTGTGGCTCACTAGCTGTATGGTTTGATGAACAGAACGTGAGGCCACTTCTCACGGCTTCAAGGTGAAGACCCGTGCAGACCAGGCAAACAAGACACCAAATTCACCTGAGGATGCGTGCTACAAACAGATTGCCTTCAAACGGACAAAAAGGCTCAGGTAAACACACAGATGTCCCTCTGGGATACAAGGAGATTGGAAAACAAATGAACAGACCTGAAGGTTTGTCTTTAAGTTTGAGACCTGGGAAAAGGCCCTTGCACTAAATGAAATGTGGGCACTAACTGAGGGGCACCGTCAGAAGCAGGAGAGGGCCTCGACGGGAACTCCCACCTAATTCCCTGGGACCATTCGTCCACTTCTACATCGGTTTCCGCTCCGTGACTGCCGCAACTCAAATACACATTTTAGACAACCATCTAGTGAGGCAGACAATAGAAAAGACATGAGAACTTCCAACGTAATTTCATCAGCCCCATATAAAAACACCGATGACGCTGACTGTGGATAGAGCAGTTAGTGCTTAATAATACCTTTTCAACCAAACTTCGAAAACCTAGAAATTCTATCGGGTCCAGTACATAAAGTCCTTCCAGAAAGTGAAAATTAAAATTTGTTTTTAGAATGATGGTACGAACTCCTCTTTTCAGTTTTGTTTTAGAGACAAAAGAAGTCCTTGTTCAGACTCTTCATTGGTAAATATACAAATTCTAAAAATTTTTTAAAAACCAGTATCTTAAAAAGTATGGAATTCTATTTTGAAAGAAAAGGTGAACATGTACACAAATATAAATTAGGCCACAATCTGTGATCTAAATATTTAAGTAGTACAGAGATTCTGCCATGCAGCATAAATCTATAATAAACAGAAATTACTCCCACGCATTTGATTTCTCCTACATGGGAGAGGACTAACAGGGCTTTGGCTTTTGCAAAATGGTAAAGGCCATGCCCCTCACCATAAGGTTGGTTTTACAGTCACTGAAAAATGATCTTTTCCAAAACAACTCCAACAAAATCACCTACTCACTGAAGTTGCCACTTTGGTTCCAATGGTTTATATAATATATTTTAGCTCATCCACAATTACCCTTTAATAAAAAACATAACAACACTGGAAGAGGTACTGTTTCTGGAGTTATGAAACTTCAGGTTTTAAATAGTAGCATTCCTATTACCAATATTAGTGTAATCAATAACAGTAAAACTAAGATAAACTGTGCAGGGAAATATACGGAAAGAGCAAACACAGCAGAATGGCTAAGGCCAAGAGGGCTTTGTGTTCAATCCTTTTCTCCACTGCTTAACTGTGTGTCCCAGGCAAGATACTTAACCTCTCTGAGTCTTTGTTTCTTCACCGTTAAAATGAGAAAAACAGTGGAACCCATCTCAGAAGCTGCAATGCCTGGCACATAGTCCTCGATAAATCTTAACTAGGCTGATGTTACTGTTGTTGTCATCATTCCATCACTATTATAGTTTACAAAGAACTTTCACATGCAGTAGCTTAGAACTCTCAATAACAGCACAAAGAAATACTCCATTTAAAAATTCAATTACATTACACATCAAATATATGGAAAGAGTATGATTCCCACCATCCTCTGGCTCTTTCTGACAAGCCACAAGGAGGCAGAGAGTCATATATAAAATGTGACTGGATGGATACAGAAAAAATTTACAGATGTAGTAGTTAATAACCTACTAACATCTCTTGAGTGCTCACAGTGTTCCAGACAGTTCACCAAACATTTCAGATCTGTTACTTAAAGAAACTGTAATAGATGTTGCCCTTGAGGAACTGAGCCCCCTCCCATTACATAACCTGCCCCAACGTTACTGTTAAATTGATGCAGGCAGGTTGACTTCAGAGAACATACCAAAGTACTACCCCACTTCCCCGGACTGACCTCCTTTGAAAACAAACATTTGCAAAATATTCTGATCACTTTGCTCATTAACTACAACAGAAACGGCCAGTATTGTGCTCGCTTCTCTACAGACCCAGGCTCTATTCACTTTTCACAAGTCATCTCTCCTCTGCACCAGCAACTCTCTTAGAATCGTGTTAATGAGGAGCATCTAAATGCTCTTTCCCTGGTGAGCAATACTTTTTCCTTGTGCTTCTAGAATTCTAGTTTACATATTTACTGGTTTACCAGTACATAATTACGTGTATATATATGTTACATAGTTCTACAAATCTAGAATTCCCCAGAGACAGGATATACACTGATCCCAGTTAATGAAAAAAGTCATGAGAAAAATGCTCCTTTTTACTCATACCGTCATCATCTAGTTCAGGATTCTTACCAATCAGTTCAGTAGCCCATGAACCCGAAATTATAAATACATTTTATGTGTTTATATACATATGCATATATATATACAATATACAAAATTATATATTTGTTTTCTGGTTTTGAAAACTATTGCATTCATCAGAGTCCTCGAAAAATCCCCGAAATGTTTTTTTAAAAAACCATTCGTTTAGACAGAGATCCTCCCGAAACAAATTCCATCACCATACAAATGTTAAAAGGCTTTGTGGTTCACACATGGAATGTGCTCTGAAATTTCAATGCTTTATGATTTCATGCCAGAGTGACAGTGAAATTCATAAGGGACAGCACTCTGGATTAAGACCATGGAGACCTGCTCCTACAGAAATTCTCTGTATAGGTGACCTTGAGGAAATCAATGCAAATTTCTGGACTTAGTTCCATTATCTGGAAAATAATTGTGTTTTAACAGATGAGTGCATGGTTTTCTCCCCAACTCAGTGATCTGATGACATAATAGTGCCACACACAGAGTGCAAAATAAGAAAAAAATTCCTTAAGCTACTTACATCACTAATGAGTTTGGTGCATTTTCTGGCCAATTCCATCCTTAGGTCTTCAATAACAGGCTTAAAAAACACCTGTCCAGAAAAACAAGGAAAGGAAATACTTTTTTTCTAAAGATCAACTTAGAAGAACAAATACCCTTCAGCTGGTGTGTTCCCACTTACCGTGTCATCTTCATCTTCTTCCTCTGTTTTTCCCTCTTCCGTTTCATTTTTTACATCCTCAAATATAGGGACCCTCATTTTTACTCTTTATGTATAGAGGTTTTTTCTTTTTTCTTTTTTCTTTTTTTTTTTTTGAATTCTCGGGAACAGCCCCTTTCTCTGTACTACAGCACCCTTGAGCTCTTGGAGTCTCTGGTGTTCTGGCAGAAATGACCTTGCCCAGGCCTCGTCCCTATTTAGCTCACACTTCACCCTCTTATCACAACGGCATGTGAGTGGATGGATGGGATTGCGGAGGTCAGTCAGGGCGAGCCTCCCAAGTGGAAATACCACTCCAATGGGCAAAATTCGATTTTGTGACCTTTTAAAGTCAACATTCTCTAAACTGGGTAGGCAATCCAAAAGAGACCATTTATTTATATTTCACTAATTTAATTCATTCATAAAATAGTTTGAGAGAGACTTAAAGATTGTGGGAAAATGACTCCACTATAACACTCAAGATAGCACGGCCCAAAGCCTGTTATCTCAAAGACTTCTCAACTCCATCTAAAGAAAGCTTTTGCTGGAATGTCAGACATCTTGGATTTGGTATAGTGAATCCAGATCATTCAAACCTAAGTTAAATTTTTTATGAGACAAACACATACTTCTCACATTCTAAAAGGTACTAACTTTAAATTAGCTGATTAAAGGCTAGTAATTTATTATGAAAAGCCCTTTGAACCACTTTAAAGAATCTATTCTGAGTTAATTATGACCGTTAATCTTATATTGCTACTGTATTATTTTAATTGTAAACATCATTAAACATGAGAAGTTGCAGTTAACATAGGTTGATATATCATTTAAGAATTCTAGAAACATCATTGTTTCAAAAAAATAATAACCATGCTCTTCCAATTCTGCCCATTGTGTCAATTTTTATAAATTCACTAGCTTTTATATTATAAAATATTCACTCTTTATATATTCCTCAATGTGTATTACATGCCTGGAAAAGTTTGGAAAGATATTTATAATGTAACGTGTCATCAGTTATATAATTAAAAATATATTTCTCAAAAAATCCTTTATTGTCAATTTAGGCAATAACAAGGGTCTATACAACTCATAATTTATCATTATTAATTCTCTTCTTAATTGCCTTGGCCTTACCTAAACTAAAAATTCTGACAACAAAAACATTCTAACATCTATATGATATAGATTATTCCTCAAATTGTTTTCCATGAGGCTAAAATTCCACAGAATACTCTGGAGGGGGAAGGAGGTTTCTTAAGCAAATGTGTTTAGAAAAACCTGTATATTCATCTCTACCCCTATCACTTAGAGATCCACATGGCGTAATGACAAATCAGAAACTCCAAAAAGACCCACAACCAAGAAAACTGGTTAGGTTTTCTTAATCCAGCATTTCTGAAACATGAAATCCTATTCATCTAATCTAATCTTATCTATCTACTTACCTACCATTTTTTAATGATACCCGATGCTCCAGAAAATTAACATTCTTCTGTGAAGTATTACTTAGGGAAACATTATCCTACTCTGAAAAAAAATGTATTCTAGAATAGTTGTTGGTCTTTTCATGAAATGATTTTTGATACAGGCTAACTTAATGGCATCACATATCCTGCTTACTAGCAAAATGCCAAAAAGAAGTCCCCCAAGGGTGCTGAATTTGGAAACCTTCACTTTTAAAGTAACAACTATGTTATTTTAAACATAGCTGTGTAGAGAATTCTACAAGGAATCTCTCTACACATTATATTTGTTCCATAAGGGAGCAGAATGCCTGACCTCTGTTTCCCTCAAGTCTTCTGCCAAAAGACTGTTCTAATATTCTATAGAAGATCTATCACATTATCTTTATTTGGAAAAAGGGAAGAGCAATTTCTGTAAGCTTTTCTATCAAACTTCTACAAGCATGGGGAGAAAATTTCACCAAAGCTGCTTCAGATGACTTGTGTCGCTCATGGTGACATCTAATCCCATAGTGAGTTACCTTCAGTGGACTTCAACGGCTGCTTTTCCTCATTTCCCATCATGTAATACATTCTTATTGACTCTCCACTGTGCTGGAAGAAAATAACCTGTTGAGATTATACACAGAAGTTCTGAAAGCAAAACCAAACACCATATGCAAGGTAAACACACATTTTCCATTTGTGGCTTTTAGAGTCAGCATTTTAAAGCCAGAGGGATCCTTAAGAAATCAATCTTACTAAAAGCCCTCTCTTTTACAGAGGACAAAATTAAGACCAAGAGAAATTAATTATTTGTCTCTTTCACAAAGTTACTCAATGGAATACCAGGACCAAAACTTAATCAGAGCTTTATGTTCATTCATTTAAATAAGTGTTGCTATGTAAGGCACTGACTGTGCTTGGTGCTGGGGATGTAATGGTGAATAAAGCATAGTCTGTGCTAAGATAAGGCAGGAAAAAAAAAAAACCATCATTCAAGACATGCTGGATGAACTCCTTAATGGATTGTTTGGCAAGCTACATACATTATTTCTTCTGATTGAATATACCTTCTTTTTTTTCCCTCTCTCCTGTAAGTATGATATAAAAATCATGTAAAGTTTTCTTGAAAACATTTTAAGCCTTGCACTTTATCACAGCAAAGCTCTCTTGTCTGTAGCTCCCAGATGCAACTTGGGGAATAAGAAGAAAGTTCTTCATGGATAGTTATCACGTTTCAAAATTCCCTATTTCCCTCTTTTTTTTAACCAAGTTAAATGTCATGTTTAATATATATTTTCACTTTGGGGCACCCCAATAAGGGAATATCAGTACAATTGCCAATCCGTTTTGCTTATTGTGTACTTTACATATGTTGCCTACCTCTTATTTTAGTACTCTATCCATGCCCTCATACAGAATGAGACCAACGTGGGGATCACATTATTTATGGCAAGACCCTTGAATTCCCTCTGTGGCTCTCCCACATCTTCTAGGGCAAATTTTTTAATCCCTCTCCATAGTTAAAGAGAAAAACCAAATTGCCAGAAGTTATTAAAAGCAAAGCACTTAAAAATAGCAAAGCTTCTCACAAACACAAGATTTGTCAACTGTCCAACAAAGTTATACAGTTATACAGTTCCAGGAAAAGCACTTGATATGAAAGGGTCTTCTCATTTCAAAGGGTAAGACTCTATAATATCAATATGTGTTTAAAGGCCAGAAAAGCCTCATACAGCCTAATAGCCTAAAGATAAGGGCTAACTTGCATATTACAATACAGAAGTCTTTTTTTTTTTAAGGTTTTACTTATTTGAGAGAGAGAGGTAGAGGGAGAAGCAGACTCCCCGCTGAGCAGGGAGCCCAATGCGGGGCTTGATCCCAGGACTCTGGGATCATGACCTGAGTCGAAGGCAGACGCTTAACCGACTGAGCCACCCAGGTGCCCCCAAAAGTCTTTAATCTGTTTAGAGTTTGATGTTTTTATGTAAGCAAATGTATTTCCATAGCAACTGCCAGGTCCAAGGGGTGATTCAGGTCTTGGGACAGAGCTCCTGGCCAAGGAAACTCCTCTGTACCAACAATACCTGTCCTGCAGTGTTCCCCTGTCTGCAGGGTTCTTAAGGTCATGTGTAGTAAGAATTGCCCAGATTGTGATCAATGTTTCATACTTTTATCACTTTTACCTCTTTTCTTGATAGTGATAGAACACGTGCTTTTTGCCAACATGGTGATGAGAGACTTGAAAATGAAAATCCATAATAATTAAAATAGATGGAGATTCAGTTCTGAGTTGAGGGAAAACTTCGAGAGATAAACTGAATTTTTCCACTTTAGGAGTCAATTCAAGATTTCTTATTACAAAATATTCCCCCGGAATGGTTAGGTGAGAGAGGAATTAGTTCATCTGACTTGTTCGCCTGTCTTGGCAGTCTTTCATAGACTTGTGTTCAGTTGCCTGGGTTTGTTTTTTTTTCTTTCCTTCCTTCCTTCCTTCCTTCCTCCTTCCTTCCTTCCTTCCTTCCTTCCTTCTTTCTTCCTTCTTTCCTTCCTTCCTTCCTTCCTTCCTTCCTTCTTTCTTTCTTTCTTTCTTCCTTCTTTCCTTCCTTCCTTCCTTCCTTCCTTCCTTCCTCCCCCCCTCCCTCTCTCTCTCTCTCTCTCTTTCTTTCTTTCTTTCTTTTTTATGACTACCTCCCAGAAGTCTCAGTTGAACCCCTGGTCGTTTTACTTCTGCCTCACATAGTTCCTCACGGTTTGGCAACTGTCCAAAAGAGAACTTTACTAGTAGATGAGGGGATGAAATTGTTTCTTCAAACCAGAAATGTATGCTCTCTTGGGCAATTAGTCTTCTTTATAAAAGACAAGAGCTCCGCTTAATATTAGCCCAATCTATTTTTACAACTTACATTCATTAAGCCCAACTTCTCCTTTTTAATGGTCGTTTCATTACTGTTTGTTAATTAGAAATCAAAAGAATACAAAGCAACCTGAATAATTGTCACCGTTACTAATTATGCCATTAAAATAAGATTTAATAGAATGGGGATTTTTTGTATTCATATTCCTGTTTTCACAAGTAGAGATCCTATTCACAAACGAGAGCTATATATCCAAACTGGTATTGGAGGAGGAGAACAACAAGAAACTGCAAATCATTTCTGGCACAATTTCTGGGTCGGGTGTGGTTGGGATGCCAAAATCAAAAGTATTGTTCCAGATGTATTGACTGAGGGGCATATGTTCTCATTCAGAGTCTACATTTACATGAGCATCCAGCGAACTGATGGACTTTGATTTAATTCACTGCTTACTTGAGACATTAGTTCAGTATGAACAACACTGAAGCTCATACAGTCACTTCCACAGGCCTTCCTGCTGAGAGAAGCCCAAGGGTCTGAGTGGCCTCTGTAAGCCTTGTAACCAGAACCAAAGGGTCAGGCACAAACAGCTTGGCTATCCCAAAAAGTATCCCTTTCCTAGAATTTCATGTGAGATGTGTCAGGAAGAATTGTGAAAGACTTTGAAACTGGCAAAAAAAAATTTACCTCCTGTGTTATCTAGTGTTACCTTCTGGCTAATTTGGCCTTTTGCTGTCTGAACTGCCTCAGGAGACCATAAAATGTTAAAAACTGGTAACAATGCTAATGATGTTTTATCCATACAAATGCAAATTAATTGTGTCCTGGGGAAAAGCAATTGATTACTGGTCCTGTCAATAGAGCTTTTTGCCTTTATTTCTAAATTCATTTCAGCAATTCCTGATTACTCATTTTCCAAATTCACCTTTGAACCAATCTTAACTTCTTACTGGAGCCCTCATTCACTAATGAGTTAAAATATTTTAAGTGTGTTTATTTTGTGTTTCATGAGAATCGTGATTTCACCTCTTTTTAAAAAAATATCCTTTAACAGATACAAATGATTTAATTATCCTCATTGTTTTCCTTCAACATTTGGCAAAAGTAGAAAAGGAGAAGTTATCACTGGACAAAGCACAAAGCGCTCAGCTCTCAACTGTGAAATATAGTTGTAACAATGTTTGGTGTTTATTGAAATTAGCTCTTTGTTGTGTTTTGTTCTCAGGTCTGATCTCGCTTGACTATTGGCAAATGCCACGTGTGTGCTTGTATATACGTACATTCACACACACACACAACACATACACATGCACTGGAGCAGTTAATTCACCACA